TATATATATATATATATATATATATATATATATATATATATATATATATACAAACTGAAATATGGTTACCTGAGCAGAGGCTGTTTTCAGAGTTGCCTCAGTAACAATAAATACGAAGCTTCCTAATTTACCTCGGTTTAATCCCGTCCGCTCAGCGGATCTTCAGGTTTTGCTCTTCTTGATTAGGACTGATGGGACATACCGGTGATAAAAATCTGATTAACATACGATCATGCCTAGGCAATTTGTTACCTCATTGAATTATAACACAAAATGTTCGAGGACATTCTTACTTCTCAATTAATAAACCGTTGGTTAGGGTCATTATGGGCGTGACACCCTGGTATGCGCTCTCGTTAGACGTGCCCCACCTTACCAGTCAGTGTCCAAATCCTGAGCGCACGAATTATTAATAGATAGCTAGAATTACGTAACAACTAGCATGGACTGTCGATATCAACCATCAAGGTGTTGAAGTAGGTGCTCAGTGGAGCGCAAAAGCTTTTACTAGTGAACAACACGATGGTTCTACATGATTAATACCTGCAGGACAAAAAGAAACGCCCAGATTTTTTCCCCATCCAAAACAACAACAACTCCTAATTTATGGTCAGAAGAACAACATACACAACGAAGAGAGTTGCACCTCACCGGCTCTTGAATACTACTTGGTAGTGAAACACTAACCGTGGCATCAACCGGAGGCCTCGAGAGGACTTATTTTCATTCATTCATATCTCGCCTATTGTAAAACACCGTTTTCACTGTAGAATGTGTCGTATTCTAAAGCAGCCAACTTGTCAACACACCTTGACTTAAGGCAGGCAATAAGATGTGGGACGAAAGAGTAGAATGATTTTTCAACTTCATGAAATCCAAATGTACATGTCATTCATGAATAAGCAAACATTTGAATCACAATTCTTCACGAAACCGTGTCTACTGAAACTTTCTTCCCTTGACTCACTCCTTAAACATAACTATTCTCAATAAAGCCTCAATTTCTGATTGGATGGGTGTGGTGATCCAGGCCTATACGATGGCGCCTACCCTGGAGCGGCGCGTTACAGTTTCAGGACATTAGCGATCAATCAAGTTTGAATGTTGACGTCAATAGCACGTGCATAGCTTCTGAATACACGTCATTGGTGGATGGTGCCAGCCAATCCTAGGCAATGCAGACAGAAGCAAGATTATGCAAGCAGTGCTGCAATCCAATTGGTTGATGCCCTGGTAGCCAATAATCTCCCTTTTTACATATTATTTAATCAACTTCATTTTTTCCAATAAACGAACTACCTACTACCTGTCCCCTGGCCGTTTCCTCGCGTCTCCTTCTCGTGGGACATTGTTTCTGCGATCCCGTCCGTGATAGCTGATTATCGATTCGGGTCCTGTGATTAATATTGCGTGGTTGGTGTTCCGAATTCCGTGCATATTACTACTACTATTACTACTACACTCATAACAATGGGTCATCAATCCTGGTTCCAGTCTACGCTCTCATGAAATGTGTATGACTTGAAGTAACCGAAATGAAAATTCTGTTCGCTGCCTTCTCTTGATGAAAGTGCTTTCACTGAAGTGAATAAGGCCGAACATCTGGGATGGAGGGGAACTAGTTTGAAGTGCCATTGGGAAGATAGATCATCTAGAGAGGCTAGACGGCCTGGATTTGAATACCATGAAAACGAAGCATAAGAGTACGTTAAAGATGTCTATGCTTACAAAGACCAATCTAACATTAGGATGCATCGGACACTTAAGACGTGGAAACTAGTTTTGCGAGAGGTGAGATCCGAACATCCAGATACGTGCGCCTAGTGAATTCATTTCTTCAAACTGCTTTGATTAGGAATACCGGAGAAAGTAACATGTTTTGAGTGAGTCATTATGACAACAAAAGATCAGAATTACGTTTCGAGATATTTGCACTAAGATGAAGAAAAATAGAAAGCATGCCTATACACTGAATTCAGAACACAGTCCTGAATGCTAAATATACGAACACATTGTGCCAAAAGATAAACTGCGAAATTGATTTCCAGCGTTCTTTATGATCCCCCTCAGTTTGCACTTTTATATCACGACCCAATGAAAGTCATAATCATTTGGAACTAAAATTTATTCCAAATCATGAAAATCACCATCCCCTGTATTTTCATAACTCAATAATAATTGAAATATTTTTCTCCTAAGTGATAAATTTAGTCTACTCAAAGCTTTGTGCTTGTCACAATCATTTACCAGTGAGAAAAAATCGGCAGTCACAAACTTCCCTGAAGAAATAAATATATACACTACTCCGGAATGTTTTGCGCGTGATGCTGAAGCGGTAGAGACGAGTAATTCACAAATGGCATCAGATTGATTTTCTGTCATGTGTATTCTGCGGAACACGCATGCGTGTACATTCGGAGAATCAGTGTAACCCCAATTCACTTCAGTTTATACCCATGACTGATAGTCATGGTAACACTATGACTTGTCTCAACAAAACTCGTCATTAGAGGATCACATGAAGTTTCACAGTGTGTGTGTGGGGGGGGGGGGGNTTTGCTTAGATGGTCTGTGTTGTGTCGTCTGTTGTGATAAGTTTATAGAATGAACAGAAACAGAAAGACTCAGATGAGCATGGTGTTGTTGAAAAACACGCACGCATATGATTTCTGTTCACATTCGTTTGATAATTATGCAAAACTGCCCAGGTCAATGCGTGTAACAAAACATCAGACATGACGCTCATTGGAGTAAACTGTGTACTTCTTTCATCAGAATAACTGTGTAGGACAGACACGGTAGACATCCGGAGGAGTAAAAATAACTAACAGACGGGACAGCAGATTAGTTCTGCAAAATGACCACCAAAATTTCCTGCCGACGATCGATTATGTTCTACACATGATTGTCTGTGTATTTGTAATTGTGTGTGCAAATATGCATTAAGATTGTTTCAGTCTGGCTGAGTTTGGTGTGTATGAGGGCGATAAGTGTCATAACACGAGGGCTTCGCACGTGGTTAGCAGTCGCGCAATTCCCAGTCAGCTAAGGAAGCAAAAAATGTGTATGCTGAAAGAAAACTTATTCCGGGTTCATCAACTTCCCGTGATACAGTTGTTTTCTTCCATTAAAATGAAATTAATATTAACGTATGCCTAACTAAGCTCTTCTTGTAATCGTGTTGATACTACAAGCTTCAGGAGCATACCGGAATAAATAAATAATAACAAAAAATATTTGATTTGTGTTGAACACCTTAGGTTAGCCGTGAGGAGAAAGACACCAAACCAAAATTCGGTGGCCACTAATCCTGTTTTGTTCTGAATTTTACTCGCATACTTTTTTTCTGGAGAATGCAGATTAATCACTCGATTGGTTCCCATTGTCACGACAACCCAATGCAAAAGAGTGATACTCTTTTCAACTGTCCCCTACGCCCNTGCCATTACTGACTTACTCGATTGGGACCATAACTACTGTGTTTCGCGCGTCCTTCCGTACTTTACTATGATGATGATTAGATTATCTATCCATCGTGCTACGCAGGCTCGCTTTACCTGACCGATCGAGATCGAGTACCGTCGCATCCGTTTATCCATACACCCACCCCTACCCAACATCGGCCCGCCATAGTGTGCGGTTAAATCCTGACATCCCTGAGACAAAGAATACGGCAAGTCAAGAGTTTCGCTTCCTTTCGGATCTTGACAGACCACCTTGGTTTTCCTGGATGGACCGACTTCCTCAGAGTGGAACGTTATTCACAGTAATTTTTGGGTATAAAATGTTCACTTATGTTCTGTTGAATAAAAACAGCTTTGGAGATCAATATTCTAAATTTCTCAGCCATCACAAGTTGATTAACTTAATCGGACAGGTGAGAGATTTCCGACATCTTCAAGGACCCAGTCGGCCACATACAGGCAAAACTGTTCTACTTGTATGACGTTCACCAGCTCTCTAAAGTAGTGGGATATCGTAACACTTGCGGTGTCCCAGTTAACTTTAAAATAGTCCAATCGAACTACTTTTGCAATTTCACTGAACGAGGGGAGGCACAATGATTGCATCCGTTATAGCAGTAAGTAAGTAGTATTCAAAACAATTTTCGAGAGACGCCGAAAAGTGATTTGTTCAAACACTCACATACAACGTAGGTCGCTCGGAACCCTCTAAGCGTGCTTGGCCCGCTGGAACGAAACACAACCATCAGCTCGGAACCGGTCGATTCTATTGGGCCCGGTGATCGGAGACCACAGTGACGTAAAATGCGAGATGAACAGTTGAGTCCGTCGTATATGTCCACATGCGCCAGAAAACAATCGGAATAAAGCTAAATCGATGAAACGGGGTAATTAAAATTGCTTAGTGATTTGTTTCATTTGCCCCCCTACCTCTCCTCTCCAAAACATAGACAAATATTTTTTGGAAAGTGGTCGCGAGGGTGAACAATCGGAGTAAGAACTACAAGGAACTGAGAAAATAAACATTTCTAGTATCTGTATGTGAAATTGATTTTGTATTCGAAGAAAAACCGAAATTTTAAATTGAGGGGAAGTAATATATTCTATTGACATATTGACCAAATAGAAGTTTAAAATGCTCTTTTTTCCGTTACTCTGTCACACGCCACATGCGTTATGTACCTTGATGAAGAACGTCCCGTTTTGAAAGTCCATATAAGCTACAAGTGGTAAAGGCATTTTTGTTTGCGGTGAAATATTTTGCATGTTGCTAAAAAAAACAATTCCAGACAACTGTTTTCTCCTGTGTGGGTAGTCATACGTAGAATTGCCCAAAGTATGAACAGCACCATTTTGAAAATTGTTTTAGCATTGAAAATTGAACGCTCGTAAAAATAAATCTCGAACCAGCCACGCCGATCGGAACGTATCTGAACGTTCTCCATTGTGTCTCTGCCGCAAATCGGATCGGAAACTAATAAATACCATGAGGATGAGGAAAACATACTGTGCGAGTCCACTGGGCGCATATTCCTCCAGGATTCCGGTCGATCACAATTACAAGGCAGTGCGCCCCTATTAAAAGAAAAATTTATATTTCCTTTGATTTTAATTTAGTCAGAAACTCCCAACCTACTTGAAACCGGATCCACAATTACAAATAACTTTCAGTCCGTTCAAAATATGTTCGCGTAAATATGGGAAAATTGATTCCAGAAAATCAGCTACTTTCTATTGCTCCTAATCGTACTGTTAAAATTTGTCTATGAGTATTGCACTCGTTCTTATAGTCTATCGTGAACCCATCTGAGTACTTGATAAAACATGAATTAATAATATATCAAGCTATCCGTATTAGATATTTCTTAGAAAACCCTCTGCCGTAACGGATGAATAGAACGATCTACTCACGGAGCAAACCAATCGGGAGAATCCTGACAAACGGACGACAGTAACCATGTCAAAAACATGTTAGAACAGATTAAAGACAGTCTTATCCACAAGCAAGATCGGTATTGCCAGATTTCAGATGAATAGCAAGATACCTCAGGTCGGGAGCTGCATTTCAAACCATCAACTGGCAAAATCGGATCAACAGAACGTGAGGGCAGTCCTAAAACTGAAGTCAATGGAGGTGGTCAAACGGTCCCGACGGAACCCGAATACTCACCTGGCAGTAATGTGAACATTACAAGGAGTGTCCGGAAAATTTCATGGTTCTGTACGATTCGAGAAATTCTTCTACTGGTTCTGTCGCTTCAATAAACGTGCGTCTTGTTTTCTCGCCATATTCTGAGCCTCAAACATTTTGCTGAAGTTGTGTTTAACACTTGAAAAACCGGAACTTTGCATCCTTAAGCAGCGGATCTGACCACTGTTGACCGGAACGCATTAAGGTACTTTGCTTCCAGTGTTGTATGTAATGCCAGGTGTAGTCGGATAGGAAAACCGGAGTTCTTGAAGTCGAACCAACTTAAAGAAGTGCATTATTAATATTATTTACACTTTTTTGGTTTCAGCACAGATCTGAAACCATCTTCTTAACATTTTTATACTGTTTTTAGATTTTTATTCCAGTTAAGATTTTCCAGTGTTTCTTTTTCTACAAACCACCCGTCTTTCATAACAGCCTGCCATTTTTTATCGGACCGGGATAACTAGTTTTGTCGCAACAAAGGGATTTTCCGAGTTTAGAGGAAACCCCGATGCAAGTGCGGTCTATCTCCCAACTACTTCAGATCAATGCTGACTATCTGATACGATAATGCACAGTCTGTTCTACTTCCGACATTCCAACACCGGGATGACAACTGACTCGCGTATGGAATAAATGAAATCACAAACGTGCATATAGCGACGAGTGCCGCACGGTGGTTTCGGTTAAGTGTTCCGTTTCGATCGCATTTGGCTGCTTGAGCTCGGATTTCATTGGACTGAAAACTATATCACATTCAGACTAAAATCCGTAGGAACACTCTGAGTGCTTTAGTTGACATTATTATTGAATTCAACGTCATGATCAGGGGGCACTGGTCCGAATATCGTGTTACCAAAATTGACCATTTCACTGCTGAAGTGTGAATCCAAGCTCTGCGTCGCACCCAGTGTTCGGAAGATGCAACCTAGGAATGCAAGCGGCACGACGGTCAATCAGCCTTCCACACAGACGCTACTGAAGCTTTATTTTCACTGGGTTCGACTCTCATTGGTCCATTCACGGCCAAAATCGATTCGAATTGACCGTTCCGTGCTTCTGTGAATGACACAGTAATCCTGAGTTGAGGAGAGAAATGAAGTTCACTATTTTGCTCAATGTTGAATTGGGACTGTGGTCGAAATGTGCTTGTATTTCCTCACCCTGACCTCTCTGGCTCGAACAAGGTTGAGTCGAACCAGCGACACCGGTTCTCGATGAACAAAGCATTGCTCTGCTTACACACACGCGCGCACACACAATGGTCCCTTCTTCTCAACCTCATGTCAGTCTAGCATACTGATCTACATATTCAAATTGATAAATTATATGCACTGTCTGAATAGGTGAAATCAATTTTTTTTTAGAAATACATCGTTAAAAAACCATTGCACTATTTACAACTTGTTCAAGAGTTCTGTCCAAAATATCATCCAATATATATCTGACCGGACTCACGTTGAAGTCATCAAACTTCAAACTGATTCGTCGATCTTCCGGTGCACTGATTTTCCATATACATTCAACATTTTTCGGGTAGATATTGGGATAATTGGGAGTGGTGATTATTCCCTGTTCCTCGATCAGATAACCTCCACAGTTAGAATCTGAAGTTACATTGAGAAAAAAATGCAAGAGAAAGGCATGAATTGATAGGAGAAGAGAACACATGACCGTGTTATATAATCAATTCTCGCATGCTAAAAATGATAGTCGATCAATCGCTGACTACAGCTGCACACTTTGTCCTGTCTATCTCGAGAACAGCAGATTATTCATTGACTCAGGCATCACACAGTCTTGATCATGCAAACCTGGGCTTAGGTCACCAGTACTAACACAAACAAACAAACACACACAAGTTTCCTTACTCGTGCTTTTTAATAACTGCAATTCTCATACAGATTCAGAAACTGTACGCCTTTTGGTTGGAGTTCTTTGGTCTTGAGGTGGCAACAGTGAATGGCATTACTATTAAAGGAAAACAAAACATGGCTTAATTTATTTTCCATTTACCCTGGTTTACTGATTGGCAGTGAAACAGTACCTGACAATTCATGAGGTTAACCAGGCCTTCTTTGTTGGTTGATGTGTATGTTTTCAATGATTATTTGCATACGGATCAATTTATGCAATAATTTTACGCGGGCTTATTAAAAATAAATGAATATTACCTGACAGGTGTATTTGATTCAGGCCTTGTACATTGCCAACATTTTTACTATCAATTTAACATAACTTGCGTGCTGCCTCCCTCTAATCCAAATGCAGTTGGGATAACGCGGAGAAAGACAATAGATACTTAACTGAAACAATAGCACAATATGTCAAAAATACGTTTTTACGCTCCATCGATCGTTCAGTTGAACTAGACGAAAACAAAAATGGGAAAAATCTCGACAGGGTGCGCAAAAATATGAATCATCTGCTAGTTGTCAATACTCAGTCTATTCCCACTTTTTTCTCCATTTATCCCATATTATATCTTCTGTTAGAGAACATCAACTGTGAAAATAATGTACCGAGAAGCCTATGTTTTCTCATATAGTGGATAGACAGGCAATCAGTGTGTCGCAGTTCCATGGGTACAAATACAAATAGTGTGGCACGAAAACAGCCACATAGCTGCACTATCAATATAACATCATAATGCACATGTGTCTGGGCTTGAACAAGGTCATTTCGAACGGTTTAGCATTGACGTCCAGTTCACACGCAATTCACCAAATGTTCTCGAGGTAAAAATGAGCTCATATCTTGTGGATTAGCTCCACAAAAGACAACTAATTTCAGTATTTCTTTGGGACAGTACAGAAATACTCTACGAATGCCGATTGCCTCGATAATTAAAAACGCTTCTTTTTCGGTCCCACATTACTTGTGAGTAGCGATGCTCTGTGCAATAGATGCACGTACATTTGCGATTCCATCTATACTCTACATTCACCTGCTGGCCTGTCTAGATGAACAATGCAGTTTAGGCGCTACTTACCGCACCTCTTATTCTGCTGTTTGTGCTCATACATGTGTTGTTGTCGTTGTGAGGGGGAGGNNGGGGAGGAGGGTTATCCGTGCAAATCACCGTCACCTAGGCTCATCGATGTTCTCAATGTGTTTTGCCAGCGAGATCCCGGTACTATGTGTCCCCGGAAAGAGACTGCTTGACCGGAACCTTTTTTGCTGAACTTCAGCTGAACACTTCACGTTCCAAAAACGGAAGTAAAACAATGGTAGTTTAATTTTATTCTTATTATTTGGGACCAATGATGATTCACTAATCGCAGTAGGTAATTAGCTTTTCTAATAATTATAAGGTTTGCTGTACTACCTCGTGTGTGNTTTTTCAATAATCTGTAAACATCTCTACATGAACACAGCAGAAAACAATAATATAACCTCATCTACTTGAAATTAGGATGGTAACGTGATAAATGAACCGTACACCGGATCCTGTTTTACTGACAACTTGCCACGAAAATTAGTTAAAAAATAGTTGAAATAGCTTACCGGTTGAGGCATTTTGCAGCGTCCGTGGGACTTGTTCGAATCGTATCTTAAATCCGTTTGCTTGAACAAATGAACTGCTGAGAAATTGAATGTAAACGCTCGGTCCGCTTGTCACAATCGGTGCTGGTAGCTCATCTCCACAGAGAGTAGCCAGAACTGGATCAATACAACCGGACCCATCGCGTACAATTAATTTGTCAAAACTGCATTGATCTGTGCTCTCAATCTACGGAGGAAATGTGTCGATTTGCTTATAGCTCATTCGTGTAAACAAAGTCCAATATCGATATATACTTATTCAAAATACATGTTTTATACTGCCCTACTACTTATTTCAGAAAACGTTTGAAAACTGCAGTATGTACAATAGTATATTGTGTGCATAGTATATTAGTGTAGTGTAGTGTATATTAGTATGCAATGTGATTTTGGTCAGCACATTGCAGAATGTAAATCGCTCCACATTATCAATCAGTCATAATCACGGATCACTTTTTTGAACACCTGAACAGATACATTTATGACGTTTAGGCAATGCTTGAGTTAGTAATCAGTTATAACGTTTTCCAAAGCTTTTTTCTCATCGCTCGCATAGGTCAATGCTTATTGATATGGCGTTATCAAATGGAATGCGAAGGAAATACCTTATATAATCTGTTTTAAGGGAACACAATATGTAAACTATAGTGTATCGAAGCACGATACATACCACTTTTGTTCACAAAGACAGTCTAGTTGGGTCGATTTAAATTTCTCGACTGTCACGAGGTTCTGATTGCACCGTTATGCGCTCTAAGTGTGGAAAGACGGTTCACGCATAATTCTGAGTACATTCATTCATGGCGATTTACTCGGAAAGCATTAAAATCAGATTTCGTTCTTTGTCTTTGTAGAGCTTTCTAGTAGTTCCTATCTACCGACCCGTTAAGCAATGCTACCCCGGATCACTGAAAGGTAAGGAACATGTATCACCATCGGTCCAACTAGCTATCGAACCAAACGAATTGACTAAAATTATCTGTGCAGATCATGCCTGAATGAACCTAAGTCCATGTTTGACTGAATTAGCCAAGAGATGTGCGTGAAGGGGCAGTCTGAAGGATGTTTTATCCAAACCAATATCTGCTATAGCACAACACTACTCACAAACAACACAGTTAGTTAAATCTTCACTTCATTCTTCACTCCAAAACTTTTAATTTCAATGCTTAATCAGCTTTGGNTTCTTCTTACTGATTTCTTAATTTGAAGCATCTATCGCACTTGAAACGATAATTTCAAAAGGAAAACGTTAAGTACATTTGGTTTATCTCCGGGGATGTTTGGTCGCGTAAATTGACTTCTGTTCGCTTACACACATCAATGAAGATTCTTTTGTTGTTAATTTAAGATTTTCGATAGTTAAGCATGAATGCCTTTTAGGTCTGTGGTGCCTAAAATGATACTACCAACACTTTCTGCCAGTTCTATGTAAAGTTGTTTGCTGCTATTTAAACTTAAATCAACTTAAATCAATAATTACAACACTTTATTGTAGTGAAAAATACCGCTGTTTTCTCTCAGTTGTTCGAAAAAAGAAAACTCTTATTGATCATGCACCGAGTAGATAAAATCTGACGCGCAAAAGTTATGCTCAGGGTGAATTTCCTCAGACATTTCCATGGGAAGATGAGCAACCTTAGACGGAAAATTTGCCATGACAATGTTTCTTGGTTTCTGATAGACAGTGTTTCCACTAATTGAGTATGTGAGCTACTGAATGAAGATTGCGCGCTGGACTAATTGCTGCAAAGAAAATGGACCATTCACTAACTGAGTGTGTGTTTGGGGGGGGGACTGCTTACAGCCAGTCATTGATGCAGAGGTTAATTGTCACGAGACGGCTGATAATGTTACATAATTTCAATTGGCTTGCTCCGTACAATTCATCGATAGCTCAAGCATGCATCTCTGACATGATTCGCGTGTGGATCCGAACCCGCCTTAATTGACCTCATTGGCAACCCTGTTTACCAATTTTGATAAATACTAGTCCTAAACATATTCAGTTTCGTTTTCAATTTGCTCCATTTATCCCTCGGGGGCTATCTCTCATCATCATCGTACAGCGAAATACAGAGAAATTGTTACACAATGCTAATGAATTTAGACAAATCAATTGAACAGAGCTGGACTTCAGGGCTTACGCGGCCACGTTTGTGCTGCTGCCCCTGATTTCACCAAGCACCGTTGTTGTCCTGTGGTCCTGTGTGTGCGTGTTTATACACGTTTGTGTTCGGCTGTTAATATATTTGCCCCATGTACTCTGTCTCACCCGGGGCATTCATATTTGTATCAATCGGGGTAGGTCGAGACATCATTTTCTTCCCGATGCCGATTCACTCAAGTTGAATTGCAAAATGTATCCTTCTTCCACGTAGCGAAAATCGACTTCATCCAGAAAGCCTAGTATTTTAGAAGCTTCCATACTCTAGGTATTAACTTTCAATTTGATTATCGGATGTTGGGTTTGAGTACATTCCAAAGGCATATCAGTGGCCGGACAGATTGGTATGCTTCATAGAACTAACGGGGACGGATTAGATGGTGAATCGATTTTGGATTATACGCGGGCTTTCAGTAGCTTATCGAACTTATCTGACTGATGGCATGAGTGTGCGCCAACGCTAAAAGTTCAACTCCGTGATGCGGCAGAAATCGCCCTTTGGATGATATACTAAACGGATTTACGCACACGCAAAATGATCCTATTTCCCAGCTCATTGGATTTTCATTACTCAGCGGTTAGTTTAATCGATATTAAGAACATTCAATTGAAATTCAAACTAAAGTTCATAGATGGCTTTTGTCTTGCACCATCAATTTTTTTCTAGATGAATGAAACCATTTGTATGCATTAAAGACGACCTCTCACAAGAACTGGGCGTGAAAGATTCCACCCATTGTTTTTGTTTAAAAGGATACCGAGAAGATCTTCCGAACGAGCAGGTAAATGTTAATTCTAACCCGGAATATGATGGACAGTGAAAAGGGAGTGACCTGCGCGGTCATGTGAACCTATTGTTGTTTGGTTACGAACACTAGTGAACCATCTACTCACCCGATATAACAAGTCATGACATTGAGTCGACTAATCTTTCCCATTTAAATCATTACCTCTATCACCATCACCAATAACAATAGCAATATCGCTACCATCAAACCTGTAGTTCTGGGGTAGAACAAAATATCTGCCATCAACATGGAATTCCGTAAGCAGATTATTGTTCTCATTCAAAATGCATTGCCTGTATGTGACTTCTTATCATCAGTTTCATCACATGCAATTGTTTTGTTCATTCTGAACCATTTTGTTTATCATTGAATCAATTAAAGCCCATCGTTTGAAACGAGACCGAGATACCACGTGCGCCATGCGACTCACATCGAAAGATTCAAATTCCAGACGAATGGAATGCTTGGAAGACACCGTGATAGTCCAATTACAGTCGGCCAAAGAAGGATACCTGTCGGGATAGTTGGGACTTACAATGATCCCGGATTCATTCTCAACCTGAAAGCTGCATTGAGCTGAAATTAGATAATATAAAATAAGAAAGGGTTGATGCATATCATAGTGCCAAAATAATTGTTTTTTCTAATTTTTCATACTCGTGCAAACCAAACGAAATGGTCCCGGGCACAACTACAAATCGTAACAAGGCATCCTGAGAGTGTTATGCTTTTTGTTTTGAACCTATAATTATCCAATATTTATTGTATTTTATCGTACAGTTATTTGGTAACTCACAAGTGTACGATCTTAACTGAGGAAGGGGACCTAGTCAATTCAATATTGTCGATTGAACAGTAGAGGAAGTAAGGAAACTGTGGCAAGGTTCGAAACGCAAAGAAACTGTGACTAGCGGCGGCTGCTGTCCAGTGAGACCGTAGGTCTAGTTAACATTTAATAATACTGTTATCGAGTTATAGCGTATCCAGCAATACTTGTTTAGCTATCTGCAGCCATAATGTACCCCGAAGTATCGCTCCCTGTGTACTAATTTCATCGACCGAATGTGTTGGGTAAAACTATTCAGAGGAAAAATTCGGTGCATTCCTCAATTAGGGAATTACTTCAAATAGTTTGGGGATTAATTTTTCCCAGCAACCGTTTAGATTTGGGTAGAAGAGGAAAATGATCATCATGATGGCAAACTAGTATACACATCAAAATTATAAATGGGGATATTTTTTCAGATAAGTACCGTATATGCATACCCGATGAACGTTACCAATCGTATAAAAGGTAATTTCTTTCTGTAAACTTCAATCCATTTATTGAGTTATTCTTCGATGCTAGCGAACCTTATTTGAATCCCTTATTAGCAGTCAACATGGCTTGTCTAGAATCCTGTTAATTGGGGTTGAGGAGCAAAACCCTCAGTAATATTGAATTACTCGGTCGATGATGCAGAGCTTTGGTTCATCAAATACAAATTCACGCACACACACACACACACACTTCGGACTCTTTGTATTTCAGTATTTTGCTTTCTCCTGTAGGTCGTAACAGTTCAATTTTTTCACCTCTTTTTCTCCCCTTTCCAGCAGTGTCATTTTCCATTCACCTTACACATTGGTGTTTAATTCTTGTGTATTATGCACTTGATAACTATTGACGAGGTTCTTCTCACAGTATTTTGTTATGCAATAGAATTGATAGATACCCGAACAAGTGACATTCATTATTGTCACATGTCTCTTTCTATCTGAAAGCAAATCTTGATTTTAACTTCCGTGTTACGCACAAAAATCAGCAATTTGATTTGTAAAAATAACCCCATATTACACCATTCTATGAACTTTGACTGCAGACATGATGAAATCATTGGAAGACTCTTTCAAATTGTTAAGTCATAAACTAATCAATGCTGAATAAACAAACAAAATGACCCGACGACGAAATCAATGGATCTCACATTTACACAATGCCGATGGCTTACACCAATTAATTGGGTTGACCTGAGAATAACTTTGAATTTTAACTAATTCAAATTGGTACTAATACAGGAATAGCGACTAAAGTTGTTGTCATTGGTATCTCGTGTTAACTGTTCCAACGTGAATGTTACCAGAAATAATTTAGTCTATCGTTATCAGAAAATGAGATAAGAACATGGAACAGCAATGCATTTGGAAAACAGTTCATCTTGTGTCGGACTCTGTGCACATAGAACATGATCAAACGAGATGAAATTCCGTCTCGTTAGAAAACCACCCCACGATCGAGTGGTAGAACTCATTTGTGGGCGAGATGCTGTTTCAGTTGTTTACTCAAGTGCTTTTAGGCGTATTTTTGAGAACAGAACAGAACATTTTAAATGCGTTTTACAATTACATCCCTTCTATTACCTAGAAGAACGGTAACCAAACATGCCGATTTTTTGTTCTCTTCTTTTATAACTAATTGCATAAAAGCTCCATATAACTTGGACTATAGATCAGGTAAAAACTGCATTGATCTCTGGTATGATAACGGATATTTTTAATGTTTTAACCCGAGTCCCACAGCTGCGAATCTATTTGTGCACAGTGATTCCTTGTAATCGATCGAGGAAATATTCCCAAAGTAAGCTATTTAGACTTTTCCACAGAGTTCGATCAAGTGAACCACGCGTAAGATCTGTGTGTTGGACGAGCGCGTCATTTGAATTCCCCCCGGTGCAGTTCTCTGCTATCGTGTGATCTGATACAATTGAAAGATTGATTTGTTTGTTTTACTATAGCCACTATTTGTCCGAAAACACGATCATTATTAGTTCTGCAGAACTACTCTCGTGGATTTTCTACCCGACCTGATTCAACTCTCAATCATTATCATGAAATAAACTAATCACGCAGATAAACACACTCCAGCGACTGACTTTGTGCTCTTAACTGCACTCATCAGTCCAAAATGATCGGTCCAAGATTAATAAGTAGTTCTCCTTCCGTGTAAAACTTGGACTCATCACTCGTTCACCGGGCTCGGATTTATGTTCATACATGTGGTAATTTCTTGGCTGAATTCGCATTCTGTGCACGCACTTGTGTTCACCGAAGGCTTCAACTCAGCAAGACAAAGTTTCAAGCAGTAAGGAAACTGAAGATGTTAACAGTAATTTACATCTGCGCTTTCTGGTGTGACTAGTCATAAATCACTTACTCATATTCATGTTATGGCATGGATTATGTGTCGCTTTCATATTGTCCTGGATTTCCCCTACATGGAAGCACCTCTGTCGAAAATTAATATATGACTCCGTTTTCCGCACGAAATACTATTTCAGCTTTCTTTGACCCACTTTTACCGTTTTACGCACCGTATTGTGAGTTAATTTAATCGCACATCAACCCTCCCCCCCTCCCCAACTTCGATCCCATGAAGATATGTGTTTCTCCAACCAGGTGTAATTCGGTTTCGGGAAGAAATAGTACAAGCCATCGTTTATACTTCTCCCGCAATCAGTGTGCTTCGGTTTCAACCAAATTATCATTAAATCAACTTGGTTACAGAATCCTTATTGTCCGCTTCTTCTGGGGCCTAAGATAAACTGCGTGCTTAATTATGTGCACAATAATAGACGAACTAGCCCAATCAAAAACCGCTCCGGCAGTGTTACATGTCAGACTATTTTTTGCTCACTCTCTAAAGATTTCTCTGTTCCGTGCAACCTCATGGTTCTCTTTCGAGCAGTCATCAATGGTCAAATATAGGTCAACATCATTAAAAAGGGTACAAAACAATTATACAGCCAACTTATTATCAATAGCAATGGCTGAAGTGCACTGGAAGGTGTTTAGCTTCCTTGTAGCAATAAAACAAGACAATTGAGAGGGGGATTGCACTTGGAAAGTAACTACCGTTCATTGATGTGTAGTTGAGCAATGATCCTTCAATTTCGCCTTGATGCTGCTCACACAATGTCATAAATCAGTGTTTAAGCTTCTTCGCCCAAATGACCCCATTACGGGATGCTGACGAGCCATTCTCATTAAGTTTCAAACATGGTGCTGTTTCGCCGAAGACTGTCTGCAATTATCTTCCTAATACCTCTTAGTGTACTTGTTCTGGCGCAGACTATGGAAGATTTATCACAATTGCTCCCATTTATAAACTTTTTGAAGCCAGTATTCCAGCCAAACAACTTCGTTCCATTGTTCGCATATCTTGTGGCCTAAACTGGCAGAGCATTTCATTTTCAAACGTCGGGTTTCTATCGCTTTTGCTCCCCGATAGCCCCTTGTGTTTGTCCATAAACGAACAGATCACCCTGGGATGATGTCGCTTGTCTATCTTATCGTGTAAGGAAATCAGTACACGCGTACGAAGTGCTTTCTTAAGATTTTGCATCTTCCTGTCAGTCGGGTGTACGGTCCCTCTTTCTTTGTAAACTGAAATCATTTGGATGCTCCAAACACGCACTGTTGTGGTTAGTGAACTATTTCAACAGCAGAAACCGACGGACTTCATTTGACACAAAAACATTCAAACCAATTATGAACTATTCTGAAGTGCATCTGGAAACGGCTCCTTGTCTCTGCTTGTCTTCAATCCATATAAAAGACCTGTCAGCGAATTACCCAGCTCGTCTGTTTAAACTGCCTATGATGTAGTTCAATCTGCCAGGCTATTTTTGTTACTCCATGCGAGGGAGCATGGTTTCAGTTGTTCAGTTGATTGCGTCATTGTGACGCGTGTAATAGTTATCTCAATCTAATTGGTCCTTAATATTACACTTTTCAGTCATCAGAATTGATCATATTAGCGTGTTGTGTACAAACTATATTGCTTGACAGATAATGGAAGATAGTAACCTGATTTTCAGATTGTGAAAAGGTTAGTAACCTCGGTGGGTCTTGAATCCATGCATAAAGACCATTGGAGATTTTCTACAGAGCACGCTCTTCGAGATGAGCAGACATCACACGAAAAGAACTGAACTTTTCACATTCGGATCACCTACCAAAGTTACCAAGGCATGTGAAATTCACCAATGTGCAAGGAAGCTGTCTGCCTTTGAAAGTTTTCGAGAGAATTTTCGTGTATCTATCAAATGAATTCTCAGAATAAGCTATTTGTTCGAACTGCGTTGTTTGGCAGATCATGGAAGACATTAGTCTACGTGGTGGCACTGTAGTTACATTCACAGTCGGAGCTAGGATGCATTTGATCCCGTGATCAAATCTGACTGATGAAATGTGATAGATTATGGCTATTGAGTGATCAGTAAAAGTAATTGCACCTACCTTGAGGAGGCCAGTGAATCGACCGATAGCTTACCGGCTTATTTGTCCCGCAATCGGTAGTCTAGGATTGCGCGACAGGCACAATTTAAACGTAAAGATACAATCAAAATGCATAGGGAGTATTGAAACTGAATTTGTTTTTCATTCAACTGGAGGCGCATCCAAATGACGCCAAATTCGTTCTGCGATCAGCATAAATAAGTGTGTGTGGAGCGAAAACTACCAAACGTTTCTTGTCTATAACGAATAGAACATAGAGGTGTGTTTGTGATAAGAAATGTAAGAAAATCGGATTTGAGTTCTGTTTAAAGCTGTTCGCAAGTTCAAAGGACTGCTGGAAATTTTACGAGTGCACATTCACCTCAAACGACCACTCCTAAAGTGAAGTTTAACTGTTTCTCAGTCAGTATTTAACCAATTGCTCGATCACAGCGAGAAGTCTAGTAAATCTTAAACCAGAATTTACTGTTACCACTACGTTTATAAACCAGTCTATAACAAAAGTCACTCGTGGTGTGCAACATTAGTTACAGTTGATGAGCAATAGAGAGTAGATTGTGTGTTCCTAGGAAACAGAAACATGTGTTCAAAAATGCTTGCACTCAGCTGGCAGTATTCCAGGCATCATTTCAATATACTTATCATATTCTGCCCGTATTTTTCCACAAAAGTATTGCATAATTTGTACGACCACTTACATATTGACCACTCCCTCTTTTAAATGCCCAGCGTCTCCGTTTTGCGCAAAAATGGGGCATGAGAGTATTATTCTGTTGTAGTGAAATATTAGCTAGAGCACGGCAGACCATAAATGTATTTGATGAATTTCATCGTAAACAGAGCAAAGAAAACGTGCATTGGAAAAGTGCGACAATCCGTCTCTTGACAATTTCCCCGGTAGATTATGTGGCAAGTCAGTCCTGACTTGTTGGGAGGCTTTCAACTGGAGTTAACAGGTTATTATCTGTGTATTCCTTTGTCGCTGTCGGTCCAAATGAACTGACTGACTATCACTGAAGACAACACCTGAACAAACATGAATAGGCAACTTGGTTCAGCCATGGTATCAGCTGGTTGGCACAGTTGTAACACACACCTTCGATGCGATGAGTCCGCAGTTCAAATCCCGGACGGGACGGTGGAAATGCACTACTGATGAGCTCTAATAAGAGCGCTACCCGAGTCTAATGCTTCCGAGTGTATGGTTGAATCGATGAACTGAGGATCGTGCGTGAAGGTGAAGTCCGAAGGACAGTCAATCAAATCAATCAATTTCCCCTTTCGCTCGTACTGTATACGAAGGATCTCCTGATCTAATCAACTTATACCACCCAATACTCTCTCGTACCACATTGACTATGTTCAGATCAAATACTGTATGGTAGAAAATTTGTCGAATATGCACGCACAGTATTAAAGCTATGGATGTGAACAAATTGGATTGGTGCGATTGACTACCCACGTGGAAATCCGTATTTCTTACATTCTGCCTGTCCTATCCCGAGTTCGAATCCTTGACTTTGCCATCAAATGCGCAAAGCTGATGCGATCCAATAGGACATTTACTGTTCATGCTTTATTCCTTATTCTCGGGGCTAACTCTTCTTCGTTTTTGTGGTATACTGGTAGGCGAATTCTCGATCTGAAAAACAACAAATGTTCCAAAGGAATATCTGTGTAGTTATATACAGTGTAACAAGGTAAAAACACCGGTTCTTCCGCACTATCTTTACACATCCCCTTTGGCTATCCGGAACAACCTGTTAGCAAAGTAATTCAATGTAGTGAAGATACTGTGAGGAAGACCGAGGTCTGAACGAATTCGATGTAGATTACCTTACCGTTGAACGGGACACATCAGCAGAGGTAATACAGGGGCAACTATCCAGTGCCCTCAAGAAAACCCATGCGGCAAAGCTCAATTGCCTGTTTACGTCCAAGCCAGTTGTGTTCTTGACTGAAGGACAAAATGCCTGATTCTGAGGTCCCAGTTTGTGTGTACTCTTGTACGTGCTTCTGTGAACCAACGTACATAGACCGCACGATCCTGCGTTTTTGTTCAAACGAATCTGTAAACACCACCCCGCATGGCTAAGCATAGGAGAGATTGGGTCATTGACTAGTGCTTAAGAAATCACGCTGTGAATTTGACCGAGGCCTTCCGCGTCCCGTTTAGGGTTCGCAGTCAGGTGTCTGCCACAGCGGAAGCGGTAGGAATTCCTCTGCACAACCCCCTTCTGTGTCCCAAAACAATATGTGCAGTAGCTTACTAACGTTCAGGTTTGTGGATAAGTTTTCTAAAGCGTGTACTGAAGACCTAATCCGGTGGAACCCTTTCGATTGGAGTAAATATAAATCATACTCACTTCGTTCATTATAGTGCAGTGCATCCAGTAACTATCATTGTAAGTTACATCTGGAAAAGTCTGGTTTACTAATCGAAGTCCTGCTTGAGTGAGATAGCCACTGGGGCAGTCGCAGGTATACATTTCAAGAGATAGATCTGACCGTAGTTTATGTCTTAAGTGAGGTGGTGGACAAGCACCACTGATGAGTTCTAATGAAAGAAGAAACTGAACACTATGCTGAAAGACAAAGTCTGAAGGAGATAATCAGCAAGAATCTAAATTGATCTGTTTCAACCATTTAAATGAAAAGAAATTACGAAATCAAAAGTCTTTGCGATTGTGGACAAAATTCTGTCATCCACTGTTCATTTGAGTGATGCGTGTAACGGAAAAGCTTTTAGACAAACTACACAATGCTAGCACATGGTCTTCACTGTATAATCATTTTTTTATTCTCTCAGGAAACACTGGCATTGGTTTTGAACAACATAACATTTTTATTGAAAAATTATTGCAACTATATCGATAGAGATGACATTTTTACAATCTTCTGATAAAATTCTATTTGTCTGTGGGTAAGTAATACTACTGCTACCACTACTAGTTCA